AGCACCCCTGCCAGTTCTCTCAGCACTCTAGGATGTACCCCATCTGGCCCCATAGATTTGTGCACATCGATGTGGAGCAGCAGGTCACTGACCATCTTCTCGTGAATTGGGGGGGGGACATTTTGTTCTGGCCCCTGTCTCTTGGCTTGGGGGGCTGACTTTCCCTGGTACAAGTGTTCCTATTACTAAAGACTGAGGCAAAGAAGGCATTAAGCTCCTCAGCCTTATCCCCGTCTTTTATTACCACTATAGGGGATGGAGGCTCTCCCTGGTCTTTCTTTTGTTGTTAATGTATTTATAGAAACTTTTCTTGTTGCCCTTTACCTCCAAAGCCAGATGAACTTCTGGCTGGGCTTTGGACCTTCTAATTGCCTCCTTGCATAACCTAACAACATTCTTGTACTCATCATGAGTGGTCTGCCCCTTCTTCCAGAGGCCATGGACTCTCCTTTTTTCCCTGATTTTAAGCAAAATCTCCCTACTCAGCCAGCCTGGTCTTCTTTGCTGCCAGCTCGTCTTACGGCACATGGGGATGCCCTGTTCCTATGCCTTTAAAATTTCCTTCTTAAAAAGTGTCCAGCCTTCCTGGACCCCTGTTCCTTTCAAAACTGACTCCCAAGGGGTTCTGTCAAGTAACCTCCTAAACAAGTCAAAGTCTGCCCTTTGAAAGTCCAAAGTGGCAGTTTTGCTGCCTCCCTCCTAACATCTCTTAAGAACAGAGAATTTAATAATTTTGTGGTCACTGTTCCCTAGACTGCCTCCAACTGCTATATCCTCCACAAGACATTCTCTACAGCTAAACCTGACTAACTAGACAGCAGCTCCTCCCAAATGCAAGACAAAAGAAGGAGCTATGCAAGCCCTGACCAAAAAACAGGAGAAAGAAAAAAGTGGTGGTGGGGAAACTAAGTTACAGCCATCATTTGACAGAACCTAATGTGAACCAATTGAGCATAAATCATAAAATGTAGACATGACCCCACATGCAAGGAATTTAGGATTCTGTTCTGCTTTTCTCCTGCAAGGCTTGGCTACATATGTTGCTAAGCTAGTAAGGTTTGCTCCTACGTTTTCAATTTCTGCTACTGGGATTATTCTGGTAATGTCTTAATTTTCAGTTGTTTTCTGACCATGCCTTTAGAAGTAGGACCTTTTGAGAACAGAGGTCTTTTGCCTTGCTGATATCTAGCCCTAAATTGTCACTGTACAGGCATTATGCTCTCTCTAGAAGTAAAGAGCTGTATTGTGCTTATATGTGGGCTGTCAGGATTTTAGAGGACTGAGGCCTTTCCTGCTTTACTGAATGACACTGTCTCCCTCTCCTTTTATGGTACCACAACCACGTGCTGCAGTTTCCTCTTTGACTTGGAGGAGAAATTTGAGGAGGACATGTTCACCTTCCATGTGTGCGATGTGGCTCTGAAACATGCCCCCGAGTTCCGCAGGGTGTATCTACCATATGTAACAAACCAGACATATCAGGAGCAAACCTTCCAGCGGTTACTGTAAGTTTTCTCATTTGTTGCACCCTTCTTCCCCCCTCT